CACACACACACATACACACACACACACACACACACAATATATCAGTCACAGCATATCCATAGGCTCTATGTGACTTCACGCAGTGGCGCAGCACCATTTTTGTGACCAAACTACTATGCGGTTAAGCCTTTAAATGTACAATAATAAACAATATCTAGTCAAATATCATGTGCTGTCATCATCAAGATAAAATAAATCAGTTATCAGAAATGAGTTATTAAAACTATTATGATTAGAAATGTGCTAAATAGAAATATCTCCATTACACAAAGACATACAGGGGGGCTAATAATTCATCAGGGCTAATAATTCTGACTTCAACTGTAAATAAATGATCAGCACAACCCGAATGAGAGTAGCTCAGAGATGTGCTTGATGACAGAAAGCCCTGCCGATAGAACAGATTCAGGCAAACCTGTTTCCAGACAGGTCCAGCACGTGGAGTTCGCTGGCCTGCGAGAGCTCTGGAGGGATGCGCATCAGCCGGTTCTCTCTCACACACAGCACATTCAGACTGCAGCAGCCGCCGATCTCAAACACAACACACAAAAACACCATGAGTACAGTAACCTGAGCACTGCAGTTTATCAACATCTGCAGGAAAAGCAGACAGAAGTGAACTAAATCAGCTGAACACAGACATCTGCAATAGCGGCTGACTGGTTATGCATCCCAAAACCTGTAATATAACATAGTGTAGCATAACTCTGAGCTATTAAGCTTGGGATTGCCATATGTTGAGAGTTTAAATCTCCCAATCAGAGCTTTCCTCTTTAATGGATATCTTTCCTGCCCATCTGTAGAATAAAAGCACATGCTGATGATCGGCAACACAGATGAACATGTATACTTTGGCGTATAATCATTCGCCACTGTGACCTTCGACTTGGATGGAAGGGTAATTAAGTTAGCTTGCAATTAATATTCTGAATTTCAAGATTTTGGCTTTCAAGAAACGCTTCTTATTATCAATGTAAAGAGCACCATAATCAACATAATAAATCAGGGCATCTGCAGTTTTCGAAGAATCGTATAGTATAATTTTATAGTACTGAATTTGCATAAAAAGCACACAACACAACTAATTAATTACCATCTATAAAACTCTTTATTGTATATCGAAAGAGTTTAAAATCCATCTTTGAACTGAAATGCAGCAGAATTATTAGTCACTAGTTGGACCGGTCATCCAAAATTTTTTTATAAATAGATAAAATAAATAAAAAATAAATAAATAAATAAATAAATAAAAATAAATAAATACATAAAAATAAATAAATTAAAATAAATTAAAATAAATAAATTAAAATAAATTAAAAAAAAAATAAATAAATAAATAAAAATATAAATAAATAAATGAATAAATAAATAAATAAATAAAAATAAATGAATGAATAAAAATGAATAAATAAAATAAAAATAAATAAATAAGTAAATAAAAATAAAAATAAATAAATAAAATAAAAATTAATAAATTTAAATAAATAAATTAAAATAAATTTAAATAAATTTAAAAATAAATAAATAAATAAATGAATAAATAAATAAAAAAAAAGAAATAAAAATAAAAAAGAAATAAAAATAAATAAATAAATAAATAAAAATAAACAAATAAAAATAAATAAATAAAAAATTCACTTGATTCCGGTCTGATCTTTAGCTCTTTATTTGTTAACATAGGGCTTGATGAAGCTGGTAAACGCTTTTATATAGTGATATTCCCACAAATATGCTTGAGTAAGCGCAATCCAGTCTCTAAATAGAAAGACGGCTATCGTCATGCACTCTAAAATTGCTTGAGGATGATAAAAATATAAGCGTTTGTTTCTGAACCGTTGTGTTGTGTCAGAGTGTGTGAGGTCAGAGGTCACAGACGATCTCATTCATGCTCAGCCATTGTTTAAGCAAGACAATAAGATTCCTCAAATGTGGTTCAGCTCTCACACACACTCTTGAGAAGACACTGGAGGGCTGCTGAAGATGACATAAGAGTCTGGACACAAAGACACGCAGTACTAAGACTTGTGTGAGTAGAAGTCATGTGACGTGTGATGATGGCCGGCTGCCCGAGGCTAGCGCTCTAATAACACTGCTTGACCCGAGGTGTGGTTCACTGAACTAGATTCACAGGTTAGTAGGGGTAAGGATTACTATTCATTAAGTCAATCAAAGCAGCAGCAGGGACACCATCAGCTGAGTCAGCATACAAACCACAACACTCGAGTGATGCTGTATGACTGTAAATATAGCCATGTGAACCACAAATGACCATAAAAACTGCAGATTGGCAACATCACTGGCAGGTATAATGTTTTCTTCAAATGTACGCTAGTTGTATGCATTTACTTGGTGAACTCTGTGAGCATGAAAGCTGAAGTATAAATATATGCAGTGTATGGGGGAACTAGCAAAAGCAGGAAAAACGAGTTTTAAGTGTATCAGAGGACATCAAATGAGAAACTGCCGTAGGCACCACTGAGTTCCCAGCATATATACAGTAAACATACGGTCTCATCGCAAACGCTTGATCAATCCTGGTTTGTTAGACTTTCTGGGTAAATACAAAATTCAGCAAATATATTTAAACCATTTAGGTTTTACTAAATTACTTACCTTAAAAAAGAAAAAAACATTAACTGATATAATTTTACCATGTAAGCGAACTTAATTAGTGCTGTCGAAGGGTTAATCACAATTGATTGCAAACTGGCCACTTTATTAGGTACACCTGTCCAACTGCTCGTTACCACACATTTCTAATCAGCCAATCACGTGGCAGCAACTCAATGCATTTAGGCATGTAGACATGCTCAAGACGATCTGCTGGAGTTCAAAGCGAGCATCAGAATGGGTAAGAAAGCAGATTTAAGTGACTTTAGATGTGGCATGGTTGTTGGTGCCAGACGGGCTGCTCTGAGTATTTCAGAAACTGCTGATCTACTGTTTTCACGCACAGCCATGGCTAGGGTTTACAGATAAACATCGGAGAAAAAAAGGAAATATCCAGTGTGCGGCAGTTCTGTTGGCGCAAATGCCTTGTTGATGCCAGAGGAGAATGGCCAGACTGGTTCCAGGTGATAGAAAGGCAACAGTAACTCAAATAAGCACTCGCTACAACCGAGTTCTGCAGAAGAGCATCTCTGAACACACAACACGTCCAACCTTGAGGCGGATGGGCTACAGCAGAAGAGCACACCGGGTGCCGCTCCTGTCAGCTAAGAACAGGAAACTGAGGCTACAATTCACACAGCCTCACCAAAACTGGACAATAGAAGATTGGAGAAACGTTGCCTGCTCTGATGAGTCTCCATTTCTGCTGCCACATTCGGATGGTCGGGTCAGAATTTGGCATCAACAACATGAAATCATGGATCCATCCTGCGTTGTATCAATGGTTCAGGCTGGTGGTGCTGGTGTAATGGTGTGGGGGAGATTTTCTTGGTACACTTTGGGTCCATTAGTACCAATTGAGCATCGTGTCAACACCACAGCCTACCTGAGTATTGTTGCTGACCATGTCCATCCCTTTATGAGCACAGTGTCTCCATCTTCTGATGGCTACTTCCAGCAGGATAACACAGCATGTCATAAAGCTCAATCATCTCAGACTAGTTTCTTCAACATGACGATGAGTTCACTGTACTCAAATGGCCTTCACAGTCACTAGAGCTCAATCCAATTGAGCACCTTTGAGATGTGGGAGATTGG